AAAATTGTGTGATAGAATTGTATCCTAAGGACATATCTTCTAACAAGGAAACATATCGACATGCCCAACACCCTTTTCCTTCGTTCATGCGTCGATCGACAGAAGGTATTGAAGTTGTCAAAAGTCTAAAAGGATTCATCCCCACCCAAGCAAAAACGACCCAATTTTTTGGGTTATTTATCTAGATTCAGGTCCACGTGCATCTAGATGTACGTGGAGCTGAATCTAGATAAATAACCCAAAAAATTGGGTCGTTTTTGCTTGGGCATGGCCCTTTCTTCCCGAATTACGGCCATTTTTCTAGTTTTTTCAGTGAAACCAAGCAAAAATAAAAAAGTTCAGAATTCCGTACAGGAACGTAGCAGATATACACTATACAAACTGAAAGTTATAGCTTTCCAGCTCTTTCCTTTTCAGAGTTATGGAACTTTCTGTTAACATAGAAAACCTGTTGTAAACCAGTGTGTTCAGTTTTGTTTTTTTACTATTTCGCTCAATACATGACCGTTATATATTTATACTTACGAACATATGGAGTATGTGGAACGACTAGAGATTTCTAAATATACGTCGAGTATAATACAATCATTGGGTGTTTGCTAGAATCGGCAGTTCAAGCATCTCATTCAAAAGTCATATGACTACGTACGTTTGGACGATTTGTCAATAAACTTGGCTCAGAGAAACAATCTTATTAAATTAAACTCTTTAGCCTACAATCAGATCTACTCTCCTAAATTCAGTACGATAATACGTTATGCCTGGTACCAAAGTCGCTACAAGAAGAACAATTCTGGGTCGTTTTCCAATGTTAACGACGTTTATTTTTCATTTGCAAATGATCGTTACCTCTCTGAGAAATGGAAAAAGACAACTTTCATACAGTGTAGTTATAGTGATACAGTGAGTTGTTTCAGTCATTTCTTCGAAGAATTTTTGAAGAACAGTTTACAGTTACTTGTTTCGGTTGTTGTATTTGAAGTTTGATTGTGACCAAATAATTGTTTCAAGTTGTGTTTCTTTCGTTTGAACTTTGTTAATAAATAGCTTTCAGGCGAAAATAAGAAAAATTCTTCTTCACGTGGAAAGACATTACGTGACAGAACGGAGTGAACGTTCTCACTAAATATGCTGATCGACAGTATGAGCGGCCAACTATCTCACTCATCTATCAGTTCAGTAAATGAAAAATGGCCATACGTCGAGAACAAAAGGTCATGGGGATGAATTTTTCTAGACTTTCGACAACCTCGATACCTTCTGTCGATCGACGCATGAACGAAGGAAAAGGGAGTTGGGCATATTGGTATACGTTCCCTCGTAAACATCAGTTATTCGCGTCATTCGTTATCCTTCAGTCCTGCCACATGTAACGTCCAATAGAAGTCGCTACAGAATAATTTGTCTCGATTGCGATAATCACAACCGGTGCGATACGATGCCTCATAGGATTCGTGCGGCAACTTTGTTTCTCAGAATATTCAGTTAGAAGTAATTGACGTTGAAATTTTTTCACATGAGGAGATGAAGATAAATGTTTATTGGCTAGTTTAAATCTAATGAATTTAGGAGTTCATCCATCAACTACCCGTACGTAGAACTTCTGCTAATTTATTTTGTTAATCTTTCGATATGTCTGAATCATTTTAGTGCACATTCGCCATACTTTATCTTTCGGTTTATTAAAACCTCTATATATAAGTCAAAGTAGTAAAAGAATGAAAAAGTAACTTAAGCGATTACTCAGTTGAATGCAAAAAATGATTCATCATCTGATGATGCAAAGAAGAAAACGACGAATAACCGATAGAGCATAATGAAAAGGTCCGTGAGTGCATTTATTAGAAGTTCATTGTCCATAAAAATAATATATTAGAGAAGTCTTCTAAGAAAACCGAATCGCATCGAATAGGGACATTCGAAAGAATGGAACGAACAGAATTTCGTAGACGAATGAAATGAAGGTAGTCTGATTGTTTCCAGAGTTCAACTTTTGCTTTCTCTTTCGATTCACTTCATTTTCATGCTCACCCCCAATAAATTTCTCGTCTCCTGAATAGAATCGCGTCTACACCGTAATACTGCAGTGCGATGTCTTCGTTACGAGGAATGTATACTTAAAAAAATTTTTCAAATGCTATTGTTCACTCGAGAGCATTAACTTCAATAACCACTTTTCCCGTTACTTTACGAGACATCATCCTATCATAGGCATCGAGCACGTCTGTAAACTTGTACGTAGAGTCAATTACAGCTTTGATGGCTTCTTCTTCAATTAACTGCGCCAAAGCAATCATTCGCGACGGGACCATTTTGAGAGGCTCGAATACGTGTCTGCGAGGTACGCCCCCCAGGTATACAGGTATAACCATCGCGCTCAACAATTGTAAGAGTCTTTTAGTGGCCGACCATACCGTAGAACCTAAAAGAAAGATAAAAACAGATCAATGAATTAAAAAATAGAAGGCGATTTATAATTAATAATGGCTTACCAATTTCGACCAAGCCAATAGTACAGAACAAACCCGAAGGGGTCAAGTAAGCGGGCGAGTTGGAGTATAGTGCATGGTCAATGCCTACAGTATCCAGGATCACATCAAATGGACGTGAACTATAGTGCTCTCGAAGAAAATCCGGTAGACAGTGTGACGTGTAATCTATGACCTTAGAAACGGATAAGTGAGTTTACTTTTAGAAAAAAAATTCAAAAGAACAAAAATACTTCATCTGCGCCCAGATTTCGAATGATATCGCTCTTTGCTGGAGAGCATGTTGCTACCACCAGACCCGTAGATCCAACAATTGTGTGCGCCAGTTGAACTGCCATTACCCCAACAGCCCCGGATCCACCATTGATGAACACCTTGTCTCCCTTCTTCAACTTGGCCTTTTCGATTAAAAAACAGTACGCTGTGTAGCCTAAAAATTCGAGGTTATAAGAAAATATATTATACGAAGGAATAATGATGGTTAATACCTGTAACCGGGAAGCATGCAGCATCCTTGAGAGAGATATTGTCAGGCACCCTAACCATATGATCATGCTTGGCGAGGACATACTCACGCAACGTCCCTCGCTGAACGTTGCAAAACCACATAGGACTTATTCCAAACACTCGATCGCCTTACAAGAAATAATGAAACAATAAAAAGGTAAGACGCAATTGATTAATATTACCTGTCTTAAACTCGGTTACATTTGCGCCTCGTAAATCACAGACAATTCCACTAAAGTCCAATTCAGGCACACAAGGCCTGCCAGTGATTGCGCCCACAGGGTCAAGGATGCCATAATGTGCCATGAGCCGATACGCTACCGCGGAATTCATGGAGACATAGCTGATCTGTACAAGCACTTCGTCCTCTGCGCATGTGGTGGGTATGGGTACCTCAACCAGTGTTAATACATCACGGGGACTTCCGGAACTGGTGAATTGCCATTGCTTCATCGTCTGACTGTGAGCGATGGTTGTCATGTTCAGTTTTGAAGATGCAAGATATGGGTTTCAGCTCTAAAAAAACTGTCATTAGTAGAAATAGCGAGCTGTGTATCACTGTCCCGCTAAGGATACACATTTAGTGAAGTCTGTGTGTCTACTATTTCTAGGAACTTTAGAGTTTAGTTCCTCAATGCTCTGTTCTCCTTATTCTTCAGTACATTTTACAAGAACGTGCGAAAAAAAAGCATTATTTACATCATTTTTCTACGAAAATAAAATTTGAAGTATTTTTCTATTTGTACACTATTATGTAGATGAAAGATGCTCTGCGTTAGGTTTACGACACAACAGTATCTGAGAAGAAAAAGAAAAGAAAGAAAAAAATAGAGAAAAAGAAAAACACGATCCCATAAAGAAGAATGAAGTAACATACTTGCCACTCCTCTTCAGGCTCAATGAGACCCTTTTGACAACGATTCTTTTTATACCTTATTTTGTGAGACAACACCACGTTATGCTCGAAATACTGACATCGCAATGTTATCTAGACCATCTAATACAAATATGTAACGAACTCACTTTTTCCTCTTTGCTTTTCTTTTCTTTCTATTTTTCTCTTTCTTATTAACGGTAGGTAAAAGAAAGATATTGTTCATTGCTATAGCACTATTGCAATTTATGAAGAGAAAAAAAGAAAATAGCAAAAGAAAAAGAGAAAAAGAAAAAACAACAGAAAGAAAACAGAGAAAAAGATAAAACAAGAAAGAATGAATGCGTGTGCTTCATAATTTCTGTCCTTTTTGTACAATTGTACTTTAGCCTCATGATGACTTAGAGACGGTTCGAAAGCTCAAATGTTTCCATTTTCAAGGTCGGATAAATAAGATAATCATTTATCATCTAGTCTACGAGTTTCACGCATTTTGCGAAGAGTACTATTTGAGCTGACGAGGGAACATCTCGAGGTGATAAAAAGCTTTTTGACTCTAACTACTTTTATCTTGTAGACCTTAGTGAAATACCCTAAGTTGCTTCGTATTCTTATTACTTTCTGAGAGAGTTATGACTATTTCAAGTTTTCATCAGAAAGATCCTCCTGAATCTATGATTTCCTACTTAAACAACGTCCGATAGACGTGATATTTTTACTGTAATAGCTGGTTATAGTGGTCATGGTTTGCCAAAAAGTTTCAGCTCATTTCAACATTCTTAGATGCCACTGTGTAATTTTCTTTATCACTGAGGCACATATGTGTTTACTAATAGTAATAATTACTATAATAACATGCAAAAAGAGAACAGAAAACAGGCCGACAAGGAGTATTGTTATTGAGTGATGCTGTTCAATACATATGGTATTCGACAAAGAAATGATCGAAGCATCAGATTTTGCCAGATTAGCTGCAATATATGAACGAGAACTAATTGCAAGACGACGTGTCACAATGCGATTGTCTAAACTGTAAGCAAACGTCTGTTACCGTTTGAAATGCACCAGAATGATTGTTGAGAGAACTATTGTTATACCATGCATAACTTCTAATCAATTTAAAGATGGGAGTCGAGATTAGATTATGGCTGAACGAATGGAGTCTGATAAGGTTATTCCGTTGAGCCATTTGGATGTTAATATCGTGGAGAATGACTCGATCATAAACACGGCGAGTAATGGCCTTGTATTCATGATTAAAGAAAACGTCATGAGGGTGAATTTTAGTCGTTGTCTTTGGTGAAATTTCATTCAATCGTTCGAATCGAAACTTCTCAATACAATTTTCTAGTCGAAGAAACAGATTCAGGACCAGGCCATTTGCTGGTTTTAGAAGTTTCGGGCTTTTTTGCATTGGGACCATGCCAGGACATGCCTACGCATTTAGTTTCGCGACAGCTTTTGGCAGTTGGGTTTTTGGTGCCTTAGGATTTCTACGGGGGTTTCTGGAGTACCTTTGGTCGATTTTCTTGATTTGGAACATCTGGACATATGCAGTAGGGGTGCAGAATCTACCGGAGTTTCCCCGCAACACGAATGTATGTGTGTTCGCGTGAGGTCGCGTACACCGGATCATGTTTACATACTAGGACAGTAATGATCTATACGATCTCCCTCACGCTGCACGAGGACTTGTCCTCAGTTATTCAACATCATAATTAGATTCATAATGAGGTTTTCGTCATTCACGATAGATCTCGTGACAGCAGTTTCTGGTCGTTGCGGCAATATCGAGTGTGAAGCTTCTTTCTAACGAGCGAATTGGAAAAAATCTTGTCATATAATGTGTAACAGGTGACGTCGTTCACCGTCGATCGGATGTTTATAGCATTACTCCGAACGATTCGAGATGAACTGAGTGCGGACTCCTCACTAATCGTAGCTGATGTCGATTGTGTGAATAGTCTCGATGTCCATGATCGACAATCCAAGTGTTGTGGATCCAGATCGAATCGCAGTTTCTTGAGGCAATAAGCTCGCAATGTTAGCTTGAAACTGAATCGAGTGTGGTGTTGTCACTACGAATCGCGAATCATGAGCTTCGTCTGTAACACGGCGAGAGATTCTATCTCTCAACAGACAAGCACGATTCCATCAGTGCGCGTTTCGTTTTCACACAGTGATAATCAACAAAAGTCTATACACTACCATTGATCTCACAGGTGATTTGTCTCACAGACAAGTTGGCGGAAGACGGGAACTCTTAATGGCACCGTTGAAAAAAGAAATCGATGGCGGAGTATGCTCACTTGGCCACTTACTCTACCGACAGGGAAATTATAAGCAAGCAAAGAAGTCTTTCGAACAACTGTTGGCTGAGTCATCAATCGGTGATTTCAATAAGCAAATTGTTGCCGTGGACTCGGAACTGTTGCTGTTCACCTCAAACAATACGTTGAAGCACTCGTCTATCATCAAGAAGAACTTGAATTATGGATAAAAATAGATCTTAGTGGTCAAGATGTAGCTATCGCTCGAACTTACATCTTTATCGGTCAAGCTTACTACTTCAATCGAGAGCTTGACTTAGCATTAGACTATGAACAAAAAGCACTTTCTCTTCTACCTGATAATCACATTGATCATGCCAAAGTTTATGGTATAATGGCCAATGTTTATGGAGATAAACGAAAGTATGACTGACTTATCTCAGGACTATTATAAAACGGAACTAGAAATAGCACAACGATTGTTACATAATAATGATCCTTCTATTGGTATAGCATACTTCAATTTTGGACGTGTGTGTGACGCATGGGTAGCTATCAAAAAGCAATCGACTTCTTCAACAAAGCACTAGCTATTTTCCACAAATCACCACCAAATCATCCATATATTAAGAGACCCTCCACAAGCCTATCGAGTATACCTGTCAATCGCGAAAAATAGATTTTGTTAAAAGTTACATCATTCGATTCGGCATGAAAAACTGGAGTGACAAAACCTTTTAAAACCTTTTAAGTCATTTTGGTCTGGAGAAAATCAAGTTTTCCCAACACCTAAGGGTAAAACACCGGAAAATTGACCAATTTCAGCTTTTTATGTATAAAACCGTCAGTTTTTGTTCGATTTTTTTGAACGCATTTCATTCGAAAGAGCGCACAAAACTGAACAAAATTTGATATTTAAAAATATTTTAAAGTTAAAATAGTAGTCGCGGAAAAAAAATATTTACTAAAATCTTGAAGTTTTGAAACACTGAGGTTTTTGTAGAAAAGCCTGAATATTTTAAGCAACCAAACGGAAATCCATAATAGAGTTTTGATATTTTAATAGAGCAAACAATTCTGCACCTGATGCATTCATTGTTTAAAAATGACAAAATCGCTACAACTCGGGATCAAAATGGTTCACAATAGCCAGAGCTGGAAATGACCAAAACACAGAAAATGCTCTAAATAATTTTTTTTCGTCGTCAAACTATTTCCAATCGATTTTTCAGTCAAGATTAAGTATAGAAAACCCTTTTCCTCCTCCAATACGTTTTTTTCTGAATTTGAATAGTATGTGTTCTACATAATTCTGTGATTCTACGTCAATGTAATTATCAAAAAGTAACGTTTTTGTACAGAAATTATACTCAGTTAAATTGCGAATTGCATGCGTAATATTATCACGCATCCACAATAACGTTATTATTTCAATTTTGCACGAAAGATATAGGCTTCATGAGTATGAAAATTGCCGATAGAGCAAAGAATTCTGAGGAAAATAAGACATCTGCCGGCTGTCCAAAACGCTTTTTCACCCAACTGCAGCGCTTTGCGCACATTTGTACCGGACTGTTTGGGAGATCATATCATTACTCTTGATTCAATCGAACGATTTCCACTATTTATTGATGCGATTGCCTTGTTTCGTTCTTATCCATGAGGAGCTATTTCAGATCCGAAGAAATAATTTGAACAATTTCATGAGGGATATACGTCGATCGTATTGTGACGAATTAGTACCTGGCATGAAAGGCGACTATTGCTCGAGTGAAGAGAAAGCACTGATTCTGTGTCGAATGACAAATGAAAAACAGTTCAAATCTGATTGTCGAAAAAAAACTCTGGCAGAATTTGCGTATCGAATTTCGTTAGATAACAAACTTCGTGAGAAAAGCATTATCGCGACATGATATTCGTCATTTCTGTAGGATAATATATAGCTCATTCTTGAACCGCAATCATAAAATAAGGCTCTTATTTCGCCGTCATAATCGTGGTCACGTTACACGTACTTGCCACGACTTTTATCGCGGCTCGGCAGAAACAAAACAATCATCCGGGTAGCCCCAACTTAGTAGTGAACCTAGTACTAGGTTATCATAAAGAATAGGAACGTGAGGCTGATATCTGGGTTAACCGCCCAGTTTACCGATCGGTTAAGTTAGATCCGATGACAAAACAAGTTT